AAGAGGACACTTGATTGAACTTTTATTGGAATTTTTTTGTTTAAAATTAATTTATTAGGATTTATTGAAATTCTTTAAAAGTAATAAGTAATTATGATGAAATTAATGAAGAAGATATCATGAGGAAGTGAATGTTTATTTTTATTATTTATTTTCTATTGTCACCCTATTAACATATTATGAAATATATATTAAGCAGCACATGTTTTTATTTTTTATTTTTATTTTTATGAAGCATCAAAAGATTCAAATAATAAAAAGTAATCTTCATTAATTTTCATAAGATAATGTTACATTTTTTGTTTTATTAAATTAAAGAAAAGTTCACCATATTATTGTATAAAATCAGCATTTTGTTATAAACTAATTCACATTCTTGTAAACTCATAAAAGATGGCCCTGGGCAGATCTAAGGCCATTTTTTGATCTTAAGAACTGATTAGGGGCCTATTTTCCCTCTCTACATTTCTTTATTTTATGTGTTACCATTAAAGCTCCCTTGACTGATGGTAATTAAACTTACATCCCTTCTCCTTGTCAACTTCCTTAATGATAATTATCATATGTCATTTGCATAAATAATATGGTAATTATCAAAATTAAGTTGTTCTTTTTTTTTGAAATGCATGCCCTTCATTATGTTTGATATCCAAATATGTATCTCGACTAAGGCTTCGTTTGGGACAATTTTCTTATTGTTTCTTAAATAAGCTTTTTAGTACAAAAATAAAAAAAATTTGTACTAGAAAGCTTCTTTAAGAGAAAGCCCTCCCAAACAAAGCCTAAATCTTGGGAATGATTGGTTCTTTTTATAAGACAAATTAAGCTATGAGAAAGCACTACTAAGCGCGATAAGGATTTTATTTTCTTAGTTTAAAGATTTTTCATGAGCGTTAATAAATTACTTGCATGCAAGGGATAAAACTTTCAATTAAAACGAATTATATTGGTTTTCTCATAGATTGGTTGTTATATTAACTTTCCTGGTGAAATAAATGAGAAGAAACACCCTTATGCTCAAAGGGATTTGAATTAGTATTTATTACAAGTTAACCCAAAGTTCTATTGTCTCAGGTGGCAATTAATAAATTTGTTGTCAAATTCATAATAATTTAGGATGAAAAGGACTTCATCATCTATCAAATACATCAAGCACATTCATAAGCTCAAATGCATATCATTGAGAAACATACAAACTTACATCATTATCACCAAAGCTACTCAATCCAACAAACTAATCATAGGCTATTTTTAACATCATTAATTGCATTTAGGTGATATAGTTTTCATATTTTAACATGTTCTTATCCATTAAGAACCACTTCATTCTTAATAAAGCACACACAACCCAATTAATCTAATGGAAAAGAAGTATGTATTATTGATAGTAAAAATTTCTCATTTGCATTAAACCTATTGTGCATACATATAAGAAAATTTTATTTTATGTCTGTTGGTGGTTTGAAAAGAATATTTGCCTTGCAAGATGCATAAAAATATGAATTATATTTCTTCGAAAAATTGAGAATTAAATTTAGATTTTAATTATGGAGTCGAACAGACCATTAGGAATATTAATATAGTGCCTCGTAAGGCTGGAATAAAATCTCCTAATGGGTTCAGACCCGAAATTGAAGGTTTACTCTTGAATGTGGTAACCTGATTTAAGGGAGAATCATATATGACCCCGGATGGTCAAAATAAATTTCAGCCAAATATCTGATGACGATAATCAAGAGAAGTGATCATTAATTTCATATTCAAATTTATGTTAAAAAGTGATGCATCTCCCAGAGGGGAGAAAATATCACCCGTTAGCAATTATTCAATTATGACGATGACGATCATTATAATTTTAATTTATCAAAAAAAAATCAATTGAATTTTAAAAAATTGACGTGGGTTCTAAATTTTCTATGAGCGCAAGCCCTCGTAGTTAATTACATCATAGAAAATCGGGATTTTTTATAAATACTCTCGATTGAAATAACGACATAAATTTTGTTTGGTGATTCCAAGTAGGTGAAACTGAAATTTCAAGTAGGATTGGAGTAAGATTGAGCACTTATTTTTAGAGTCATAGTAAGAAATATAGGAGATACTTTGGGATTCTGAAACAATTCATAAGTGTCCCAACCTAATCTAAGTGTTGGACTTTAAATTTTGGATTGAAAAAAAAAATTAATTTTGAGTTGATTGATTTATTAGAAATTTAGGATTATATTCCCGGAGATTGATGTCTTATGATTCATAATATGCTTCGGATCCTAAGTCTAAATTTGAACACTGAAACACATTAGTCTGAACCTAGCTAATGTAGTGTAAACTCTCGACTTATCCCGACCTAGATTGGGAGCTATCTAATCACCTAATCGATTTATAATCCATGATTCTGATCTTTATGGAAGAGTGTAGGGACATTGTCATTAAGTTCAAACCTTGCTAATGTACTGCAAAGTCTCGACTTATCCCGTCCTAGATTGGGAGCCATCTAATCACCTAATCTATTTAAAATCTATGATTATGATCTTTACGAAAGAGTGGTAGGGAGATTGTTATTAAAGTTTTTTTTAGAATTGAGACCGACATCTAGAGTGAACCCTAATTGGTCCCTTGACTTTATGTAAGGTGAAAATGCTTAAGACGAATGCAATTAAAGTCTTAGACTTATTTAATTGATTTTTAATGCAATGAATGTTGATCGACTCGATTAAATGCATAAAATTGGCATGTAGGAGTTTTTGAAAAAGGCTTAAAATATTTTTTCCTAAAGATTGCATAATATCCCCTTGACAGATCTGAACCCTCAAAGGTCAGGTAGTTTACCAGAAATCGTAGGTGCGAAGGTGCCTAACAAGGAAGATAAGATAATGATATACTTATGAGAACTCCCGACAGCCAAGAGTTTACTTCTTAAGTCATTAGGGTGTCTAATGTATATAAAAATTTTATTTTAGATTTTAAGTCCTAAAAGTTTTATCATACCTTCACGAGCCTCCACGTATTCAGATTTTTTTTTCCTAAGCATTGAATGATAAGTTCCATGTGAATCGATAATTTATTTTATCTTTAATCATTCGATAATTTATTTTATCTTTAAAAATGTTAAAACAGCTTATAGAGAGCTTCTAATACCTTGGCCAAGTACATGGAACCAAAACAATAAAAAAGCAACGTACATAAATCAATGGATTTTTAGGTAGTAAGATCATAGCCTGCCTCCACTACGATCCATTGGGTCCATTTTAGAAAGTTTAATGAGATAGCACAGATCTTTCAAATGCACAAAATATTCTTCTTTGGTGTTAAAAATAAAGTTTGTTGGAGATGAATTACTCTTTTGTATGAACGTTTCTACACTTAATAAGTTTGTTAGAGACTTTCGCCCAAATGGCCAAATGCCCTAAATTTAAGAATGAATGTAGAAGGTGCTGCATGTATTTATTAAAGTTGCCATTTTTGATCTTAAATCCTACAACCAAACAGCCCTTCTATGTTTAGCCGCTACCGGTGCCCGAAGTGGGGCCTCCGTAACCTCAATGGTAACTTCGCCGCAGACCCCGTTGAGATCCGCGAGGTATGGGACTCCAACCTAGAGGAGGAACTCTCTCTCATCCGCTCTATTGTCGCCGACTACCCTTTCGTCTCCATGGACACCGAGTTCCCCGGCGTCGCAGTTCTCCCCGTCGTCCCTTCTACAACTTCATTAATCGAATTCAATTACCAGACTCTCCAACTCAACGTCAACATCCTCAAACTCATCCAACTCGGCCTCACCTTCTTTGACTCTTCAGGCCACCTCCCTTCCTTTGGCTCTCCTCCTCGCCCTCGCATTTGGCAGTTCAATTTCCGCGAGTTCGACGCAGCAAGAGACATCTTTGACCGCAGCTCAATCGAGCTTCTCCGCTGCAGCGGCATTGACTTAGAAAAGAATCATTGCCTAGGCGTCACTGCTAATCGCTTTTCCAAACTCATCATCTCTTCCGGCGTCGTGCAAAATGATTCCGTTCGATGGATCACTTTCAATGGTCGCTTTGACTTAGGATTTCTTCTCAAAACGTTAACTTGCCATGATCTACCGGACTCTCAGGAGGATTTCTACCGTTCTCTACGGTTGTATTTTCCTAAATTCTATGACATCAAGCATTTGTTGTATTTCCGCGACAACTTCCCTGACGGGCTGAACAAGGTCGCAGAGGAGCTTGGGGTGAAGAGAGCGGGAACCTGCCACCAGACTGGATCGGATAGTTTGCTCGCCGCTGCCGTCTTCAGGAGGTTGAAAGATCGTTTTTTACGTGGATTTGTCGAGAGATATGCTGGAGTTTTACGTGGTCTTAGCTCTGATTGAACAGGATCCATTATTAGCAATAATAAATTAGAATAAAACAAAAAATAACTTGTAATTAAAATTTTTGTAATGAAAATAAATTTGGGCCATCTCCTATTATTTTCTTTTGGAATATTTTTGGTGGCCTCTGAATATTGGCTTTTCTATATATTTTTTTTAATAAAATTTATTGCTTTCATGTCTCGAAATATATATTGTCATGAGTGAGCTATTGTCTAATAACAATTTAAACTTTCACTATTGTTGAAAGTCCCATCTGAGAGTGATTTTTAAACCGTCACTAAAAATATTAGTTTTTAATAGCATAAGATGTAGTACAATAGTTTTGCAACTAATAATAAAATTATTACAATTTTATACATCAATAGTTAGAATATTTAGAGACTAAGGGAATTGCTCACTAAAATAATTAGCTTAAGCAATATATCATAAGAAATTTTGTAAATTATTTGATCTCTTTTCGAGTTCATTAATTAAAATTGTTTATGTCCTACATTATATTTGATATCAAAATAATTTTTTTTTTTTTATATGAAATGGATGCCCTACATTATGTTTGATATCTATATATGTAGCTAGACTAAGGTTTCATTTGTGATGATTTTCTTATTATTTCTTAAAGCAGCCTTCAAGTACAAAAATTTTATTTTTTGTACTACAAATCTTCTTTAAAAAGCAATAAGAAAGCCGTCCTAAACTAAGCCTAAATCTTAGGAACAATTGGTTTTTTTTTATAATACAAATTGAACTATGATAAAGCACTACTTAGCCTGACAAGTATTTTATTTTCTTAGTATGAAGATTTTTCATGAGCATTAATAAATTACTTCTCATATAAGGGATAAAACTTTCAATTAAGACGAATTATATAGGCTTTCTCATAGTTGGTTGTTAAATTTAGGATGAAAAAGACTTCATGCTCTATTAAATACATCAAGCACATTCATAAGCTCAAACACATATCATTGAGGAACATACAAACTTACGTCATAATCATAATATAGTGGCACCAAAGCTACTCAATCCAACAACATGATCATAGGCTATTTTTCAATTCGTACAAAAAGGCTTATGCTGCCTAACGAACTATTGGTCATCTGCCTCTATATATCTCACCTTGTACCACTTGAAAACATATAGTAAAATTATCTTGCTACAGTTACTTCCTCTCTCAGCTTGCTCTGCATTATTTCTTCTCTGTTTTGTTGAGCTTTTATGTTATCAGGGTTCTGAAAAATTGTTATGTCCGGATAAAATATCGAGCATTTTGAGTGTACCGAGTGCGGTATTGAGCACGGTATCGAGCACCCAAGTAATGTGGTGCTTTGTTATTGGTCTCTGGACCTGTTCGGTGTCCGGACACAATAATTACTCCAGAGTTCTCACCTCACAGCTTCAGATTCTTCCTCCCAAACTATCCTAATGGTCGATCATGCATCTTTAGCTCAAAACTAGTCAACCCCTTCTCTCTCAGCAACTCCAAACTCTTCCCTCTCGGCAGCCATGGCATAAATAGTGATTCCTTCACCACTTAAATTTTTCATGAACAACCTAAAGCACATAGTTCATACGCAACTCACAGCTGACAATTATGCCATGTAGAAGCTACATGCATACCAACTATTCTCAGCAAACAGGTTCGAAAAACACCTTATAGGAGAGTTGAAATATCTGCTTGAGTCTACCGCATCGTCTACTGATTAAGACCTTCGACTGTCGAAACTAATTGATCAAAATCTCATTTTTGCGCTGCTCTCCACTATTTCACCGACAATACTCCCCTACATCCTCAACATATCCACCTCTCACGACATTTGGAAGACTCTAGAGCTCCGTCTTCAACACACCAACAGGTCTCGCGTAATCCAACTGAAAAGCGAACTTCATCGCATTCAACTTCGCGACAACTTGATGACATTGTACCTTGCTAAAATAAAATCGTTGGTGGACAACATAGTGGCTGCCGGATCAAAAGTCGACATTGAAGACATTATTATGTACATTCTCAATCGGCTGCCCTCTTCCTACAACCCCTTTAAAACTGCAATCCGAACCTCATAGCTGCCAATTAGCTTAAACACCTTGTATTCACTTCTATGCCGTGAGGAGGTTAATTTTCAAACAGAAATGCACCGAGACTCATATATATATAGAAAACCTAGTTATATATTTTTTTTCTAGTTAATGCATTACCAAGATAAAAATATTAATAATTTTAGCTTATAGCTTTTTATTTTAGATACATAAGATATAAATAATATAATTAAACTTTTAATTATTTTTTAACATTTTTAATTATAAGAAAAATTTAAAGCTTTAAAAATAAATAAGAAAGTTTATATATTAAATATATAATTTTTATAATTTTAAGTGTAATAAATATTTTTATTTTTAAAACTCCATCCTCGTGCGCAAATTTTGGCTAAGGCATGGACAGGAGCAGCGCCATGCAATGGTGAAGAGTAATTGGTGAAAGATTTTTGGATTTAAATTACATCCATTTGGATGGTTTAATGGCAGGAATTACTAAATCAAAGATTTGAGGTTGAACAGTTCTTGCACCCTCGCAACTACTTGAACCTGATGTTGATCATTGAGAAGCTTTTCGGTGACTCCGCCGCCACCGACATTGTTGAGATATGCGAGGTCTAGAACATTAACCTGAATGAGGAATTCTTTGACATCAGCTCTATTGTCACTGACAACCCCTTCGTCACCATGTACAGTGAGTTCCCCAGCGTCCCACCTCTCCCTGTTATTGCTTCTCTGACTTCATTCACCGATTTCAATTACTAGACTCTAAAAAGCAACGTCAACGTCCTCAAACTCATCCAAGTCGGCCTGACCTTCTTCAACTCTTCAAACGGCCTCCTCTCCTCCCCCCCACCCCGCATTTGGCAGCTCAACTTACCCGAGTTCGACGCTGCAAGCGACGTCTTCACCCCAAACTCCATCGAGCTTCTTTGTAATCACTGCCTCACCGTCGCCGTCAACCGCCTTGCCAAACTCAAGATCGCTTCCGGCGTCGTGCTGAATGACACCGTCCAATGGATCACTTTCCATGGCCGCTACGGCTTCGGTTATCTTCTCAAAATGTTAACTTGTCGCAATCTACCGGATGCTCAGGAGGATTTCTTCCATTGTCTGCTGCAGTATTTTCCTAAGGTCTATGACATCAAGCATTTGATGAAGATCTGCTATAACTTCCATAACGGGCTGAACAAGCTCGTAGGGCTACTTGAGGTGAAGAGGTTGGGAACCTGTAACCAGGCTGGACTGGATAGTTTGCTCACTACTCCCACGTTTACGAGTCGAAATATTGTTTTGCAAATGAATCTACACAGAGATGTGCTGGAGTTTTATATGGTCATGGCGTTGATTGAAGCATGCATGAGCCATTTTTAGGGAAAGTAAATTAAAAGAAAAAATTTAATTAGTTTCTAAATTCTTATTTTTGTTACTCATGACATCGTGAAATGTTACAAAAAGTAGAATACATGAATTTAAATATTCTATCAGATGCAATAGCTTGAGTTTAGATGGAAGTGTTTGGATTTCAAGATTGATTCAAATAAAAAATTATATTACTAAAGATGGTTGTAAAATTGTTGTAAGAAGTTGTTATTATTTTTTAGACTTCGTTTGGTTATCAAGTACCTTTCGTAAAACATTGAATGATAAGTTCCATGTGATTCGACTATTTATTTTATGTTTAATCATTCGATAGTCTCTATTCTCTACTGTCTAGAGAGATTGGCGTTGCATTATTTACTAGTTATTTATTGTTGTATTTTTTTTCTCTGTTGTGAACAGTGTGCAGTCAATTCGGCCGTCTTATTATTTATAGAAACACATTTTTATATAAAAAGGAGAGGAGAAAGATTCAAATGATATACACAAAATATTCTTCTTTGATGTTAAAAATAAAGTTTGTTGGAGATGAATTACTCTTTTGTATGAATGATTCTACACTAAATAAGTTTGTTAGAGAATTTCGCTCAAACGACCAAATGCCCCAAATTTAAGGATGAACATAAAAGGTGCTGCATGTATTTATTAAAAGTTGTCATTTTTTATCTTAAATCCTGCAACCAAACAACCCTTCCATGTTTAGCAGCTACCAGTGCCCGAAGTGGGGCCTCCATAACCTCAATGGTAACTTCGCCGCAGACCCTGTTGATATCCGCGAGGTATGGGACTCTAACCTGGCGGAGGAACTCTGTCTCATCATCTCTATTGTTGCTGACTACCCCTTCGTCTCCATGGACACCGAGTTCCCTGGGGTCACTGTTCTCCCCGTCGTCACTTCTCCAACTTCATTAACCGAATTCAATTACCAGACTCTCAAACTCAACGTCAACATCCTCAAACTCATCCAACTCGGCCTCACGTTCTTTGACTCTTCAGGCCACCTCCCTTCCTTCGGCTCTCCCCCTCGCCCTTGCATTTGGCAGTTCAATTTTTGCGAGTTCGACCTTGCAAGAGACATCTTTGACCGCAGCTCAATCGAGCTTCTCCGTCGCAGCGGCATCGACTTAGAAAAGAATCACTACCTAGGCATCTCCGCCGATCACTTTTCCAAACTCATCATCTCTTCCGGCATCGTGCAAAATAAATCCGTCCAATGGATCACTTTCAATGGTCGCTTTGACTTTGGCTTTCTTATCAAAACGATAACTTGCCATAATCTACCGGAGTCTCAGCAGGATTTCTACCGTTCTCTGCGGTTGTATTTTCCTAAATTCTATGACATCAAGCATTTGATGTCGTTCCGTGACAAGTTCCCTGACGAGCTGAACAAGGTTGCAGAGGAGCTTGGGGTGAAGAGAGCGGGAACCTGCCACCAGACTGGATCGGATAGTTTGCTCGCCGCTACCGTCTTCAGGAGGTTGAAAGATCATTTTTTATGTGGAACTGTCGAGAAATATGCTGGAGTTTTACGTGGTCTTACCTTTGATTGAACATGATCCATTATTAGCAATAATAAATTAGAATAAAACAAAAAATAACTTGTAATTATAATTTTTGTAACGAAAATAAATTTAGGCCATCTCCTATTATTTTCTCTGGGAATTTTTTTAGTGGCCTACTGAATATTGGGTTTTCTATATTTTTTTTAATAAAATTTATTGCTTTCATGTCTCTAAATATATATTGTCATGAGTGAGCTATTATTTTATAATAACAATTTAAACTTTCGGTATTGTTGAAAGTCCCATAAGTTAAGCTATTATTTTTTGGAAATGCATGCACTCCATTATATTTGATTTCTAAATATGTCGCTCGAATTAGTACAAAAATTTTAATTTTTTACTAGAAAGCCCGTCCCAAACGAAACTTAAATCTTGGGAACGATTGGTTCTTTTAATAAGACAAATTAAGCTATGATAAAGCACTACTTAGCCTGACAAGGATTTTATTTTATTAGTTTGAAATTTTTTCATGATCATTAATAAATTACTTCTCATGTAAGAGATAAAAGTTTCTATTAAGTCTAATTATATAGGATTTCTCATAGATTGGTTATTAATCCAAATCACTCTTACGCTCAGAGGGATTTGGATTAGTTGTCAAATTCATATCAATTTAGGATGAAAAAGACTTCATTCTCTATCAAGTACATAAAGCGCATTCATAAGTGCAAACGTAAATCATTGAGGAACATACAGACTTTCGTCATAATAATAATATAGTGGCACCAAAGCTTTTCAATGCGACAAGCTGATCATAGGCTATTTTTAACATCATTAATTGCATTTAGATGATTTAGCATGTGATTGCCCATTACAACAACCACTTCATACTTAATAAAGCACACTCAACCCAATTAATCTAATGGAAAATAAGTATGTATTATTAATAGTAAAAATTTCTCATTTGCATTAAACCTATTGTGCATATATATAAGAAAATTTTACTTTATATGTCCCATGATTGACAAAATTAGTATGCCCAAAATTTTGCTTCGGGTAAAAATATCCCAACATTTGAATCACGGAGTATTTGTTATCCATTGTGATTAACATTGGTTCTAATAAGTCAGAAAAAAATTGGCCAATGTTTGTTTGTACCATAAAGAAGTAAGGTTTTGGATCAATTATGAATCTTATGGTTCGAATATTTAATCGAACCTTATTTGGACAAAATTTGAAAGTTAATTGAAAAGTGTTCAAACTTTATTCAAAATCCTATAGAATATGCTTGGAAATAAATCGATTATGGTTCAAATATGGATAAAATATAGGTCGAAGGAGATTCAAAAATTATTCGAATAAGATTCCATCAGCTACAACTGTGTGTGATATAATTGCTTATGCTAGTATAAAACAAAAGTGTAACATACGTAGCGCTACTGTAGCAATTATGTCACGCAACAAATTAGAACAAAATTAAAAGTTATAAAACATGATAATGACACAACACGGAAGAGAGTAAAACAAAAACTAAAATATATAAACTATATAATTCTATAACCAATGAATGTTCCTAAAATAATCAAAAGTATACATTATAAACTATTACGCAGGTAGTTATGGGCAGTTGACCATACAAGTAACTTGATTATGACCTCTAACTTTATATTAATTGTACCTACATTGCGCTGCATCTTTCTTTCCCTTCAAAGAACTTTTATTTTTCTTTGGACAAGCACTATTAAGCTTCGCTAATGGAGATAACATGACAACGACTCCCATGATTTTATCTAAAATCACTCATGTATCCTCATTTTTAAAAGGATGTATATTTTTAGCATAAATAGATATTGTTTCTTGATTTTTTTTTTTTTTTTGCATAAACTATAATAATTAATACCTGAGTCTTGAGCTGCAATCAATACATGTTTGCATGAAAAGCCCATAACACCAAACTTTATGTTTGTATGTTCCCTCTTGCAAATTAGCTTCACCATTGAGATAACCGCCTTAGACTTACAATTTAAATAATAAAAAGTAATCTTCATTAATTTTCATATGATAATCCTACATTTTTTGTTTTATTAAATTAAAGAAAAAGTCAACATATTAATGTTTAAAATCAGCATTTTGTTATGAACTAATTCACTATCTTAAGAACTCATAAAAGATTGCCCTGGCCAGATCTATGGCCGGGGCCTATTTTCCCTCTCTACATTTCTGTATTTTATGTGTAACGATTAAAACATTATATATATATATAATGAGCAAATTTCGGTGAAGGCGTGGACAAGAGCATTTGGTGAAGGAACGGTGAAGAGGAATTTGTTAGTGATTTTTGGATTTTAATTACATCCGCCCAAAATGGTGGAATTGCAGGAATTACGGGTCAACAGAGGAGAATAACTATTTATAGGATTTAAAGTTTTCTTTTTAAACCCTATTGCTAAACAATTCCTTCAAAAAAACAATTCCTTCTCCCTTCACAACTATTTGAACATGACTTCGGCGCCTCAGATGCTTTATGGTGACTATGTCGACGCCGTCGACTCTGTTGAGATTCGCGAGGTATGGAACTTTAATCTGGAGGAGGAATTCTTTCTCATCAGCTCTATTGTCGCCGACTACCCCTTCGTCGCCATAGACAGCGAGTTCCCTGGCGTCCCACTTCGCCCCGTGATTAGTTCTCCGACTTCATTCACCGAGTTCAATTACCAAACTCTGAAAACCAACGTTAATTTCCTCAAACTCATCCAAGTCGGTCTGACCTTCTTCGACTCTTCAGGCCACCTCCCTCTCGTTGGCTCTCCCCCTCGCCCTTGCATTTGGCAGTTCAACTTTCGCGAGTTCAATGCTGCAAGCGACTTCTTCGCCCCTGACTCCATTGAGCTTCTCCGCCGTAGTGGAATAAACTTCGAAAAGAATCACTGCCTCGGCGTCGCTGCCAATCGCTTTGCCGAACTCATGATCGCTTCTGGCGTCGTGCTGAATGACACCGTCCAATGGATCACTTTCCATGGCTGCTATGACTTCGGTTATCTTCTCAAAATGTTAACTTATCGCAATCTGTCGGATTCTCAGGAAGATTTCTTCCATTCTCTGCGGCTGTATTTTCCAAACATCTATGACATCAAGCATTTGACGAAAATCTGCACTAACTTCTATGGCGGGCTAAACAAGCTCGCAGGGCTACTTGGGGTGAAGAGGATGGGAACCTGTCACCAGGCTGGATCAGATAGTTTGCTCACTGCTGCCACGTTCACAAAGTTGAAATCTTGTTTAGCAAATGGATCTGTACAGAGATGTGCTGGAGTTTTATATGGTCTCGGTGTTGATTGAACCATGCATATGCCATGTCTAGTATAAGTAAAGTAAAAGAAAAAAATCATTAGTATTTAAATTTTTTGTAAAAATAAAAATAAATTTGGGATCAAATGAATTTTCATTTTTGTTATTTGTAACATTGTGAAATGTTACAAATAATAGAATACATGAATTTAAATTTTATATCAGATGCAATAGCTCTTATAACTATTTAGATGAAAGTAACAAATTATATTATCAAGTAATTTAGGGTCTATTAGAGACGACCACAACTTTTGTAAAGGTGTTTGTAAAGCTGTTGTTAGTATTTTTATTAATATTGTAAGAAGCAGCTTTCTAGTATAAAGTTTTTTTAAAAGTTGTGAAAAAATAGTAATCAAAATATATTGTTGTTGCGGTCTGAAAAGTCAAAAAATAAGAAAGCTATCCCAAACGGAGCCTTAAGTTTTTTTTATTATTATTGGAAGCATGAAAGTTATTCAAATCATGCTCAAATTGAAACATCAAGAACATCAAGTAGGCTTCAAAAAATGGGTTTGGATAGGTTTCAACCATGGCTTAATAAGATAATATGAAGCTTCGTTACAGATGGCTTTCTTACTGCTTTCTAAAACAGTTTTTTTAGTAATTTTTTTTTAGATAATATGAAAGCCGCCCCAAACGAAGCCCGACTCAAAATCTGTTCGATGTATGCTAAAACAAGTTTAAGGACTAATGATATCTTGAGTCTAATATAAAAATAATGTTTAAATATAGTTCAAAAATATATTTTTTATTACAAATCATAATTTGTCCAATCCTTCTTTAAACCTAATTTTGCATCTAATACTCGAACCTAATATTTGAAATTAATGTTTGACCTACTTCATATAGTGATCAAACATTAAATATAGTATTCAAATCTTGTTCATTTTGAAAATAGGTTTCTTATTTTATGTTCTTCCTACTATAATAAAGGAGCCATCACTATATTCAAATCTAAATAATCAAATTTATATAATCACTAATCTTAAATACATAATCATTACAAGACAGAGCTAGATCGTCGCCGCAACACTTGGTTGGATAGCACCAAGCCCAAGAAAGGCATTTTACGTAGCTCATCGCAGTCTGTTGGTTGGGAGTTTTGACTATGAACCAATAGATTTTGGGTTCGAGTCATGCGTATTTGATGTATATGTGAATTTGTCTTAATTAACCTAAATGTCCCCAAAACAAAAAATCTAAAACATGACAATTTTTTAATTTGAAAGTTATGAATGTATTTCTTCAAATATAAATATAACATATATTTGTTCAAATAGGACCCACCGTTGCTTAGTTTGGTTTGTGGGCAAGTACGGTTGGGAACCCCCCAACCCGTGCTCGATTCTACTCGAGCGGCAACATCTCTTAAGTGGAGCCAAATCAAGTTCGGGCCAGGAGGTTTTTGAGGTGGGTGCCTCTTTTATGTCAGTCGAGGAGCCGAAGATTAGTCACACCTCCAAACACCTTTTCGAGGGTGACATTGTATGAATAACCCGTTACAAAAACCATGATGAGGTCAAAATTTACAATAATTTTAGGGGTGTCAATATTGGTCTCGTCCTGAAAAACCGACCCAAAAATTTCAGGTTTGGGTTGACCCGAACTCGAAAACGGGTCGGGTTCAGCAATTCGACCCGTTTCAAAAATCGGGTCGGATTCAGGTTGACCCATTGACCCGAAATTGATCGTTTTGACCCGAAAAATCGATTTTGAACCGACAACACGAGATTGACCCGTTTTGACCCAAAAAGCAAAGATTGACCTGTTTTTCGACACGAAAACTAGTAGTTTTTGTCAGTCCCGGTTCATTCGAGTCGGGTCGGGTTCGAGTACGGAAACCGACCCGTTTGTAAAAATGGGTCAAGTTGGGGTTGACCGAAACAGTGCCTAATCAATTTCAAGTTCGACCTAAACCCGACGCGTGACTCGAAATTGACACCTCTTAACTCCTAAGTAATTTCCCCGATTCATGGAACTTTTATTTTGTCTGGTCACCTGACACAGCTCTACGTTCGGATGAATAGTAAAATAGTGCCACATGTTCTCACTATTTACCGCGCGGCCCGACAAACCGACCCGAAATGGACCCAGGATTGCTATGTTCGCGTATTGCTCGGTATTGCTAGTTATTGGTCGATTTTGCTCGGGAAATAATGAGAAATACCGCTATGTGAAGACCAATACTGAGAAATACCGAGTTTTGATAGGTATTATTCGGTATTGCTCGGTATTGATCTTCACAGAGCGGTATTTCTCATTATTGCCAAGCAATACCTAGCAATACCGAGCAATACCGAGTAATACATAACAATACCGAGCAATACGCGAACATAGCAATCCCGGGTTCCAGTCCGGATCAGATCATCGGGCAGCACAGTAAAGAATAAGAGCACGTAGCTCGTGACGACATATTTTTGACGTCAAGTTGACCTAATAATTATTCCAATTTATGAGGCATATTGCCCGCCTAAAACGCAGTCGAGTAGTCGCTCACTGCACCTAACCGCTCTGGCTTTCTGCCCTTTTCGCCACCGAAGCGGTCCTTCCGGTTAGCCCTCCGCTATCTCCACTGTCAAGCAACGCAACTCTCAATCTCTCACACTTCCCACCCGATTCTGCATCGTCTCATGAGATACAACTGTGCCAGCGCTAAAACCCTAGTCCATGAGGAATGCGCTTCTTCCTCGACACCGGAAGCATCTTGTTTCTCATGGTGTTTTTCTGTCTTCTTTATTTTCCATGTCCCCTCATCTGCTTGTTGAGCCAGATGAAGACTTCTTTATTCTTCTTTTAAACTTGTAGGTTTGTTCGTCAGCAATGTTAGTATCTTTTCAAAAGCTTTTCTATCATGGAAGATGGGGCTGGACATCGGATTTCTAGAAAGGAACGATCGAACCCCGCCCTTTTCTCGTAGGTCAGTTGATTCCTATATTCAAGAATTGCATTACAATTATTGCAGTTTGCTTAAATTTTTTGGAAAAAATTTGGTGGCAAATGCAGCTTCTCGACGGTATTTACCAGCGTGCATGGCGAGAAGCCATCGGCAGAATATGCGAGGCGGCGGAAGCAGTCGCTCGAGACGGAGTTTGGGCACATGCTTGGAATGCACGGCTCCAAGACTTTGTATGCGTACTCGCGCTTTGGTCCTTTCTTGGCATTGTATAGGGCTGCCATTATATCGTTCCAGGTGTTCAAGCTTTCTATTTCGCATTTCTTTGTTCAAGACATCCATAAACGAGCTGTAAAGGTATTAATTGATGTTTTTGTAGTTTATACTTGCCAGCAAGCCTGATCATTTTTTTGTAGGTTTTAGTATTTCCATGACATACTGCATGAATACTACCGGTATATTTTTTGTTTACATTAGAAGGGGCCATCTTGTACTTTCAAGCTGAGAAGAGGAACACGTTTGGTTGTTTTACATAGAAATCCTCTATTAGGAACTCGTGATATGCTGTATAATAATTTGGGCATGTGGAAAAGTTTTGAATGGGTTTTCTCCAGTGGGGAGGGTTAGGCTTTGTTCGCTAATATTGTGGTCTGCTTTATGAAATAAAATTGCCGCTACAACACAAAGATGACAGAACAACTATCTGCAAGTGTTTTCTTCATGATCATGAAGTCCTGAAGAGAATATTAAATTTTGGTATGTCCAGGATGTCAAAAACAAATGGGAAGTAACAAATTACCAAATTAAGCATTACAATGTTTTCGGTATGCTTCGTTGAGGCATAAGCAATATAAAAGTCTTAAGTAATATCTCTTAGTGCTGTTTGTGTAAAGTTGCTAATTTATAATGTTAGGTTTAGAGGAATGGAATAATAAGTTATTGCTGATGGATAAAAGGTTATGCATGCTTAGGAAAAACGAATTTTGGCTAATGGTCCAGGCAATTAAATTTCATTGGGCTTGAAGAGGCATGTAATTTGATAAAATCATCTATTGTGACTATATAAAAAGTTTGTATTGATCTAGTCATAGTTGGGAACTTGTTTAACTTTTATTTCAGGTAAAATTTTATTTGGCTTGAACATCAAGAAAATTATTTTCGGGCATGTTTTAACAATGCTATGATGTGTAGGAAATGACAGGCAATGTAATAGAAAAAGTGAATTTGCAATATTTTAATTATATAATTGTTGCCTTGTTTAATATTAGTTGTTGTGTAGATGCTTAATCATTTCTTGTTAAAAATTGATAACAGCACTTGGGATAGTATTAACGAGCATATTATGATTTGTTATTGATTGAAAGTGGTTGAGCAATGAAGGTTAATGCTTCCGAAATGTATTTTTTTCCGATGAAAAGTTGGATATAAACTCCTCATTAAAGATCAGGAGTCGAGTGCCAAGTACAAGAAATAGAACAATGAAAAAACAATAAAATACAAATAGGATATCAAGTGGCCATCATATAAATGAGCTGAGGATAATCCGATAGGCATAGAAACTCCCAACTATTTTGCAATTCTAAGAGCTATTTTTCCCTCAGCTTAGTGATCATAGAAATGTGCCAATCAAATGATATTGAATCGTATTGCCTCTTCGTCCTTCCGTTTTTGTTGAAAGTCGAATTAATTCTTTCAATACAAATATTGTATATAGTAGAATAGAAAAGAGTATCCCAAAGCCCCTTAAGGGCATTAGGCGCCAAGTTTGTTTCTTCAACTATTGAACATTATTTAATGGCTAAATAAAATTAATTTTGAATAGATTGAAGTTCATGTCCAAATGTTGCAAATTTGAACATAGTCAAAGAAAATACGTGGGTCATTAATAAGTGTTAATTGTGTAATATTTTTGTTATGTTAAATATAATATAAATGTATCGTTTTAGTTGAGTTTGTATAGGAATTGTGCAGGAAAAAAAAATGAAATTTACAAGTATTGGGTAGTGCCAACAAGATTCACGCCGCAACACCGTATCGATCAATGCCAAAGTGCTGATTTCAACGTGGTGACGCCAACCTTATCTATTTGCAAGCACCA